CGGCACGGCAGACACCGCAGGTACAAGCTCCAGAGGTGGAAAAACGACAAGTACAAGGGCAAGCCAATGAGAGACAGACAGAAGCAAGTGAAAAGAAAATTGCCCCGCGGAAAAAATTGAAGGTAACAAGAAAAAGAAGCCGTTCCACCGTCCAGAAAAGAGAGTTCACGAACACCCCCAGAATGAAGAAGAAGGGAGAAGGACGACGTATGTGAAGAGAACCAGGAGAAATGACGGCAACTATAACCCGGCTTTAAAACGGAAGATCTACTCATCCGACAGAACTCTCCGCAGCAAAAGTCGCCGAACTGCGGAAGGGCCATCAGCGGCGGAGGAAAAGTTACAAGGAAAATTTGAACGGCCAACAACGAGGTCCAAGCAGGAACACGACAGAAGTTTCCCGGTTCCGCCAAGACCAGCTGCCATCAAACGGCCAAGACCACAAGCAGAGGAGAAAAAGAAGGTATTCAAGGGTGGCCGAACTGGTGAAAAAAGGAAGCTTCCAGAGGAAAGCACTGAAGGGCGAGCCCGTACAAGAAGGAGGATAAATCAAACTACTATCTGCAGTACCTTTAAAGACTGGGCCCAGAAAAGGATGTCCGAATATTACAAAGATAAGTAAAATTTTATGTTACTTTGCAAACTTAAGTTAATCTTTCATTCTTACTGCAAGTGGCAGATTTCAAGAAGTTTTACCTCATGCGAGGTCTACCTTTATCGCCAAAAGGGCGAGAAATGAGTTGTGACCGATTTTCTTATTATGTTTTTCAATTACTCGCGCGTAAAACTAAAGTTGATGTATAATAGCGTTGTGTAAAGACTTAAATATTGTAAAAAGTTATTGTATAAATTTTATTTAAAACATTCTAGCAAGAAAGAAGTTTTAGTCTGAAAGACTTTTTGAAATGTATTATTTCAATGTAGAAAGAATTGGCACTTGCTTTGAAAAGAATAGAAGTTAACAAGGTACTACTAATGTATGTTTTCAAATGTGTAAAATTAACAGCATGTTGATATGTTCTTATATACAATGTGAACTGTTATTTTAAATGTTAAGAAATACCGTGATATGGTAAAAGTGAAAGTAATGTTAAAAATTTGTTATTCGTGTGACTGTAAAGACTAAATCATGGCGAATATGTGTTAAAGGTTGAATGATGTAGTTAGGCTCTCTGACGCTACACTTTAGAGTTAGCCACTTTTAGAATAGTACCTCAGGGTTTAGAGTTGAAATTAGGGTGTGTTAAGAGGTCTCGTTATGTTGAATTTTAACACGTTAGTGTTTTGATTGTAGGAGGAAGTGTGGCACACGTAGACAGAAACACATTCGTGTTTGGTGTTCTTTTACAACACATGTCAGAGAGCACGGGGAGAGATAATTAAAATAGTCATGAATGAAATAAGAATGTTAAGAGAAGTATAATTGTATATGTTACTTGCCATTGTCATTGTGTAACATTTCATTAAACTAGTTTTCCTTCCAGATCTCTGGAAGGAACCAGAATTGAAAAAGCTCCTGTTTAGATGCAGTACAGATGAAAAAAAAATTTGTATATCCTGGGAGCTGCTATTGTAACAAATTTCTTTCTTTTAAATTTCTAGTTTCTAGCGAAGTTATGTTTGTAAAAGATTGGCCTCGCGTTAGATTCTAGAGCTAAAAGTTTTCAACAAGGTCGTTTTAGACCTCAGTTTCAAACTAATTAACTCTGGCGGGAAGTATGTAAGGATCTTAAGTTTTACTAACGTTTATTTTATTTTAAATCTTTACTATCACTTCTTATTTTCTACTTCCGGCCAGAATTATAAGCGTTAAGGTTTTTATGCAAAGTTTGTCTGGCGAACGCCAAGTATTTAAGTTGTGGCCTTTTGCCAAGCGAGAGAGAGGAAGCAGTGAGTCAACGCAGGCCGCTTACCTTAGAAGTTACGCAGTTGCTGTTTGCCTTCCAGGCCAGAGGTTTTAATCCTCTTGATAAATTAAACGTATTGTAGTGTTCACAGTCTCTGTGCTACATACGCTTCCTGTTATTATAAGGCCAATCTTCCACGTGTATTATTCTAAAGTTAAATTAGAGTTTAGTTTTATTTTTATACTTTTACGTTAGACCCCGAGTGGCGGGTCAGTGTATTCCGAAGTACGGAAGTTATTGTATATAGAGAAAAATAAAGGGTTTTGTATACCCTTCGTCTGTATCCTGTCTACTTACCACAATTAGTGAACATAGCTTTAGTAAGCTCTCTGTTCCGAGTCAGGTCCTTGTATGTTCCCGAAGAAGGTTAGAAGGAACATTGACCCTGATAGACTAGCTGAGTCGGCATGCAAATTCATGTTTATCATCAAAAATATTTCGCTGTGCTTCAAATGCCGAAACTTTGCTGAAGCTTGATTCTTTGCCAAAGAATATGTTTCATCTCGGTGGGGATATTTTTGTGCTTTATAGGTTATCGTGCTTTATAGGTTTGACTCGTGTTCACGTGCGGAAATATGTGACTGAAGAGAATGATCTATTACATCCTACCAAAGATGAAGTTTCGCTGTCTCCACTAGTGGAATGTAATCCTCAAGACGTCACCCCGCTATTTAAACTGAATGACCGAAAGAACACTATAAAATGGATAATTGATTGCACGCCAACTGTCTTCCACAAATGCATCTCTCTTAGGACTGTTAACTTTGGATGGAGATACAACCTTATCACAGAATTCATAGGAGCACATCGCTGCAAACTGTCAAGCATTCAGTCATCGTACAAAAGAATGTGAATACCACTCTCACTGCGCTTACTGTGGTGGAAAGCACAAAGAAGGCGACTGTAATGCTAATTCCCCAAATTGCATCAATTGCGAAATTAATGACCTACACTACGGAACATGTTATAGCTGCAACCACCTAGCGTATGCCAACTCCTGCCCATCTTACAAAGAGGAAACAACCAGAATTAGATCTAGAACACAATATCAGGAGTAGTTCGATAACATTTTCATAATATTCATCATGCACCAGCATCCAATTTCATTAATCAAGTCCGCTACCTCTCGGAGCTTCAAAACACTACAAATAAATCTTCAGAGGTCGAAAACTGCCACCGATACACTAGTACAATACGTCTCCGAGAACTACTATGATGTCATCTTCGCACAGGAGCCCTATTGCAACAACGGAGCCCCAAGAAATATTCCAACTACATGGAATATCTTCTCGCAACATAACCCAGTACTTGACAAACTCCCAAGAGCAGTTATCTTTGTCATCAATAAATCATGGTCTCCTCTTGTGATCAAAGATCACAGAGACATTGTTAGCATTGCTATAACAACTGCAGGCACGCAGCTCCTCCTAACAAGCGCTTATGCATCTCCAGCGGAGGACCTAGACATCACACTGCAAGAAATCAAACACAATCTTCAAAGCATGCAAGTCCCCCAAGTCATCTGTGGCGACTTCAATGCTCAGAACAGTCTATGGGGTTACCACTTCACATGGCCACATGCAGATACCACGCTGGACACTCTCAATGCTATTGCATTGATAACCTAATCTACGGAACCATTGCTATGAATGGATGAAGTCTTCCTTAAAGATGACAACAATCAAGACACCACTGAACAAGCACAAATGAGAGCTAACGACAATCTCCCCTCCACCCCTGACGACATCCCATTTACTAAACATGAATTGAGGCAACACATCAAACCCTTAAATAATAAGAAAGCCCCTGGCCTTGATAGCATACCGAACAAAATTCTAAAAAATCATATGCAGGGAAACTCCAGATCTTCTACTCACCCTCTACAACAAGTGCCTGGAATACAAATGTTTTCCAGACTGCTTCAAGATCGGTCATAATCTTCTTTTCCAAGAAGAATAGAAACCCAGAGGATCCGCGCTCATACCGTCCGATCAACCTACTACCAACAATGGGCAAATTACTAGAGCGACTGACAATTACAAGAGTCAAGTATCACCTCTATAAAAATAACAAAATGAGCAAGTATCAGTTCGGATTCAAACCTCATAGATCCACTACTCACGCTCTCAGAGATCTCAAAGAAAAAACGACACCAAATATATTCTGCACTTCTATGCCTGGACCTCCAAAATTCTTTCGACTCTCTTTGGTGGCCAGCCATAAAACAGGCCCTCAGAGAGAATGACTGTCCAAAAAATCTTTACCAATTAATTACTTCTTACCTCGAGAATAGGAAAAGCATCGTCATTTACAACAACTCAACCATCTACAGAAATCAATCTAGAGGATGCCCACAAGGATCATGTATGAGTGCGGACCTCTGGAATGTCACCTTCAATCCACATTATTGACCACACCTGGCCGGAGCACACCAAAAATTGTGGCCTTTGCCGATGATGTTGCTTTCATCGTCAAAGGCTCCAACCGCGACCATCTCCTAAGAAAATTGCAACGTTACGCTTGACATCTTCAACCAGCTGTGCCACAGGATTAAACTGCAAATCTCTCACTCTAAAAGCCAAGCCCTGATTATTCACAAGCTTGGACGCTCCATCACCAGATACCCAATTTTGAAAATAGGCAACAACAAAATCAAATGTGTTAAGTCCATTAAATACCTTGGCTTAATTATCGACCATAAGTTCAACTGGATCGAACACCTTCAACAGAAGAAACTCACCACCGCCAAAATTGCTCAATTCCTAAAGACTATGAGAGGTTACTCCTGGGGCCTCAACAGCAAAATCCTGAAAATATTACTCAAAACTCTAATCAACAAAATCATCACCTATGCAGCAGCAATATGGGCATTTCCAATGACAGAGCGAAAAAGAAGATTATTAAATTCAATTCAGAGACCATTCCTACTCAACATAACAAGAGCATATGTCCCAACTTCAACAAACGCCCTGAAAACACTCGCCGGAGTTATTCCCCTACCAATAGAAACTCAAGTAGAAGCAATCTCGACAATAGTATTACAGCTAAGAAAACCAGCAAAATTCGCAGATACCATTTTCCACCCTGATGAATATGAAGAAAAACCCCAAAAATACCAGACACATTCCAGCCTTCAAACTCCATAACCTCCACTGCAACTTCAACCAACCTCCTCCTAACACCAATATAACAGCTTTCACAGATGGATCCAAAATTGACAATAAAGTGGGCTGTGCAGCAACAATCTGCATCAACACCAGTACACCTCAATCAGCCTCAGCACAAGTTCACTCGGAATGGCAGGGGCACCTGAGATCAAATAACAGTGTCTACCAGGCCGAATTAACCGCTATTCGCCTCGCCATCAACCACCTGCTACGAGACCCAACGGACACCATTCATATCGTGACAGACAGTCAGTCATCTATACAAGTTGTTCAAAGCTTCTACACCAACTCACTAATAGCACAGGACATCCAGAAGACCATAAGGACAAGTAATAAGCAGTTCATTCTGTCATGGACCAGAGGCCATAATAATTGCGAAGGTAATGAGAGAGCGGACTTGCTTGCAAAACAGGCAGCACTTGATCAAGTCGGTGACGGTATAAACATCCCCTGGCCACAATCGGCATTAAAATCAAAGCTCAGACAACTTGCAACTGAGACATGGCAGCAAGACTGGGAAAATGGTACAACAGGACGACGTACCTGCAGCTTTATACCGAAGACAGACGATACACGCACAGTATCCAACTATTTCTTGACACAATATATCTCAGGTCATGGCCCTTTCCCTACATATTTCTTGGAAAGAAATTTTACTTCAACTGATTTGTGCGTATGTGGGGAAAGAGGCGACCCTGACCATTATATCTTTCATTGCCCATTAACCGCCAACCTACACGTCAAACACCCTACTCAAGTGGGAATGGAATTTAAGAGATTCCTAATCAACCATCAACACACCTACAAAAACATTAAACTAATCATAGACAAGCTACAACAACAAGGTAAAGAACTATGCCACTCATAAAATAACAAACCGTAATGATGAATACCTAGCAATCGAAGTGCACCACACAGCTGTCTAAAGAATCATGACTGTTTGCTCACCTCCACTGAAGAACGACACCTAATCTGCAGCTTCACCATTTAACTTTCCATGGAAACAATCTAAGGTACTCATATTATCAGGTTCAATGTTCCGTCTTACTTTCTTTGGGAACATGCAAGGACCTGACTCGGAACAGGGAGCTTACTAAAGCTATGTTCAATAACTGTGGGAAGTAGACAGGATACACAAGAAGGGTATACAAAACCCTTTATTTTTCTCTCTTTACAATAACTTCCGTACTTCGGAATACAAAGACCCACTACTTGTGGTCTAAACGTAAGAATATAAAAATATAACTAAACGCTAACTTAACTTTGAAATAATAAACGTGGAAGATTGGAACAGGAAGCCGTATGTAGTACAGAGAACTGTTAACACTACAATACGTTTAAAAATTATCAAGAGGATTAAACCTCTGGCCTGGAAGGCAACCAGCAACTGAGTAAAACTTCTAAGGTAAGCGGTCTGCTTCGATTAACTCCTTCCTCTCTCTCGCTTGGCAAAAAGCCACAACTTAAGTACTTGGCGTTCGCCAGACAAATTTTGCATAAATAAGTTAACGCTTTTAATTCTGGCCGGAAGTAGAAAATAAGAAGTGATAGTAAAGATTTAAAATAAAATAAACGTTAGTAAAACTTAAGATCCTTACAATATGATTCAAATATGATATTCAACAGGGAGTGCTCCTATCCTAAGTCATCACTATTTATGTGAGTGATGATTATCAACTACCAGTGCCTTCAAACTGCCAAAGCGCAGTACTTTGAACTTTACACTATTATCTGATGCTCATTATGCAAAGTGCTCTCCATGCTACTGGGCACAGTTCTGTGCACACTGAACTCTATGCACAATGAACTCTGTGTAAAGTAAACTCTGCAAAATCTGTGCACAATCACACAACGATACCACCAACTCAAAACTAACATAGTATTATATCACATCACATCCATCTTCCCAAATGCTAAGGCATAACTATTTACCAAGAAAAAGATTTGATTCATAAGGATAATCATCAAGTAATTTCCTTTTTTAAACTATTTCCTGGAAAAATATTACATTATGAAGTTAAATTTCTAGTATGTATAACTTACTTATTTTATTTTCCATTTATCTACAAACTGCTTGTACTCTAATTTATGTAAAACGGGTGCTCCGTATTCCTTTGTAGAAAAGAGTTATATTTTAAGAATGGTACTCAGGCAATGAAATAAATCAAATATACTTCCAATTTATTTTTCACAAAGCAAATAAATTACATAAAGGAAAAATTCTTGTCCTAAATAGTTAAAGCTTGATCTTAGAAAACTGAAGTGAAACATTTTAATCTTTGTAAAGAATATAAGGGAAACATTTTTTTTCATCTTAGAAGATATGCAAAGCGGAACATCTTTGAGTTAGAAAAAATATTTTTCATCTTTAAAGGAAGTTGAAATAATCGGTAACTTAAATGAACTTTTAATATATTTCAGTACGAGTTAATTTTAGAAAGACCACGCTAAAAAAAAAAAAAAAAAAAAAAAAAAAAAAAAAAAAAAAAAAAAAAAAAAAACACCGTTATTTTAATTAAATACTGGAGCCAAATAGTTCTTAGAGTATGTATAACATTTAATTCTCATGAAGATAATACATAATATAAATAAAATATATTCCATAAAGTAATTAACACATTTTCTATTTTAACCGACTGTATTCTCAGAGCACCATACTACAAATTAAGTTTAAAAAAATTCCATAGCAAGTATTCAAACAGAAATGCTTCACTTTCGGATAAAATAGGAACGGAATGAACCTAATTGATAATAACGGAAAAGCATGCAAAGGACTATGAAAAGATGCATTCGTGGAGAAAATTCTAAGGCCCTATTTAGCACATAGGCTGCATTTTTCCTTTTCAGACTAGGCAAACACTCAAGAGAATAGACTAGAAGAGAAACTCGCTAATGTGACAATCAAAATCGTAAAATCAACCTTGTATTTAGCGTAAGTATATTGAAACACTCAATCGATTTCGAGGGCAGCTAAAGGTCCCTCCTCATCAGGAGAAAAAATACCTAGAAAGAAGAAAAATAAAGGGGAAGGAGTCTCAGAAACACGTGGTCCTTATCAGCACGTGGTTATAACAGGATTTTTAATCAGAGTTACACTGTTACACTGGCCGCCTACTTTTACTATCAGGAGGGACCTTTAGCTGCCCTCGAAATTGATTGAGTGTTTCAATATACTTACGCTAAATACAAGGTTGTTTTTACGATTTTGATTTACTCAAGAGAATAATTATATATCTAAAGATATTATTTACACTAGTTGGTAATGTAATTTATTAGAACAGCCGCACACGTATAGGAGAGGTATGCAATATCCATGAAAAAACTTCCCCCCCTAGGCCAAAGAGCAATAATTAAAAAAAAAAAAAAAAAAAAAAAAAAAAAAAAAAAAAAAAAAAAAACTCAGATTTCCAACAAAATTAGTATCTGAGTATGGAAAACATGAACAAGAAATGAATATTTTTTCTGAAAATGTCCCGAATAGGATAAATCAGGGGTAAGAACCTTAACCAGTTTCAGGAAAAGGGCATTAAAAATGATGAAGTACTTTTAATCTTATTTTTGTCTATAATGCATTTACTTATTCTGCTTGAAGACTGTATTCTACACTTAGAAGGAATTTGATAAATCAGAGTGATTTCGTTTTCTGAAGATTCAAGTTCAGAAATATTACAACTCAAAAGCTAAAAGGTTAGAACGGTAATGAAGTAAAGCGTAACCAATTAAAAAATTTTTTTCTCCCTAAAAAAATTAAAGTGAAACTTTTTTCCACCTAAAAAAAAACTCTAAAAGAATTTTTTTCGACCTTTTAAAACCAAAGTGTAACTTTTCCCCCTTACATTTTGAATTTAACATGGGTTTTCCCATAGACAAAATAAAAGTGGAGATTTTTCTCCCTAAAAAAATTAAAGTGAAACTTTTTCGACCTAAAAAAATCTAAACAAATTTTTTTCAACTTTCTAAACTCAAAGTGTAATTTTTCTAACTACATTTTTAAATTAACATGGGTTTTCCCATAGACGAAATAACAGTGGAGAATTTTCGTCTTAAAATATTAAAGTGAAAATTTTTCCAACTCAAAAAAGCAAACTGTTTCTTTTGAGCCCTACCGGAAACTGCAGTGAACATTTATTGCCTTAAAAAATAAACACATTCCGAAATTATCATCAAGATATTCCACTCGGATATATTTTTCTGCTTTTCATGCCATTACATTTCCAATGAAATTTGATTCATTGCCAGATAGTTAAATGTTTGTTATTTTTTTCGCATCCGAATGCATTTTGTGTCTGACATATGCTCATTACAACCACGTTAGAAGTTAAATGAATACTTCCTGAAATAATGTGCATTTCATTCCAGAAAGTATCTTCATTTTGAATCCTCTAACTTTTTTTTTTTTCTGCATGCCAATTCAATTTTGCGCATAAAGTTTTCAGTTTCGAATGGAAATTATTTGCGGATGACTATGATGTTATCGTGTTTTCATAAACCTTTTGAAAACTTTGAATATTACCAGTTTTTACGTTATGGCCACTGCAAATCATTGAATTTTCAAATATTTTCTTATTTATCTTTTACAAGCCCTTGGAAAGATTTGAGAATAAATTTTTATTAAATAGTTATATTGTTTGATTTAATAACATTTTACACGTTTGGAAGATTTAACTTCAATAACACTACCACTCTGAATCAGAAAATTAAAAAAAGAAATGGAATTTTTATCTTAGTATACTATGGGAATAGATTAATTTTATCTGACACTGATGTATTCGAATGTAGATAATAGAGACTTTTACCCAGCTCATACAGAATATTTTCTCGAAGTCACCAAGAATCACTGACTTGCACTGTCATAGATTTTTCTCATGAAGTCTATTTCTTTCTGAAAAGAGTTTATATACTAATTTCATTAGAAACATGTCTAAGAAAATATCTGACATTCATAAGAAACATCAGCTCCTTGATTTAAATTACTAGGAAACTAAGAATCACTGTTTTTTAAATATGTTTCTCTTTGACTCAAAAGTTTCTTCTTTATCATATTCTAAATGAGCAATTAACTATACATAAGTAATATATTGTATAGATGAACCAGTGTTATATTTTAACTTATTGTATTACATATCAAGTGACTATAAGAAGAAAGTCATGTTTTCCCCTCAATGCTCATTTTTCAAGTAGAATTTTACTAACGCACACATGTGCACTTTTTGATAAAATCTCAAAGGCTGAAATGAGTGTTTCATTACCAAATTTGTACTTTCCGACTTCATTCTACTGAAACGAAAACATTCATAACTTAATTGCGAAGAAATATTTGTATTTATTATACTTTTTGATTAATTTTCATACCACTTGATTATCTTTGAAAATTTGTTTCCTAGTTCAGTGCTAATATCTTGCTAATTTTCGCTTTTTCAGTGCATTTCGTATGTGACAAAAACTCAGTTGAGAACCTTTTCTTACTTAACACCTTGCATTGCATTGCTGAACCGGGGCCATGCTTTCATTTTTATTACATATCATGCAAATATTATAAAAAAGGCACATTTCTTCCTTCTGTTGAACGTTTTACTATTACAGAGACTTCTTTAGTAAAATCTCAAAGGTTAAACTGAACGTTTCATTACTAATTTTGAAGATTCTGGATACATCCTATTTAAACGTTCATAACTGGTTAGCAAAATAGTTTATACATGTACTCCGTTGTACTCTTGGTTAATTTTTAAATCGTTTTTCATCTATAACACTTGATTTCTAGTGAAGTATCGAAATGATTATTAACTATCCGCTTTTTGCAAAGAATTTCGAAGGCACATGTGTTCAGTACAGAAAATGTTTCTAACTTATCAGTATTATTACCAAAAT